ACGAGACTACGAGCGTCTGGGTTCAAACGGCGACTGATTTGGAGTCCGAACGAGGGAGAAACGAAGCTTTGAACAGGAGCGGAGGAAGAATTACGGGCAGGAGAATTACGACCGTGATTTCCCCTCCCATGCCCGTATTTTCACTGCCGAGAGGAGCTTTGGGTGCGCTGAAACTTAACCAAAATGCGTGTTTAAATACGGGCATGGAAGAATTACGACCGTAATTCAGCCCGTAATTCGCCCAGAATCGGGTTTTTGAGGCAGATTCGAGCCATAGGAAAGGGAGAGCTGGGTTTTGGTTCCCAAACACCCAAGGGACGAACCCTAGAGAGAGAGAGCGACTTGGGAACATTCTTGGAGCTATTTTGGAGGATTTCTTCACCATTGGAGCTCGGGAATCAAGCTTGGAGATGGAGATTGAAGATCTAGATCAGATTTCTGCAGTCTCTCTCTTCTCTATGGAGTAACTTCCCTTCACTTAGGTTTTGAGGAACCCTAGTTCCATGTGTTAGGATCTTTTTTGTATGAAATTTTGGATGCTATATTGTTTATTATAATCGATTGAGGCATGATTTATTGAGTCAATTGAATCTTAATCAAATTCTCTTGATTTCTGCTTTAACCTATGATAGATAGAATCTGATTAGGTTAAGAGAGCTTCCTTGATTGATAGTGGTGAATTGGTTGTGCGAGAGTCAACCAATTCACTGCTTTGTACTGGAATTCATTCCAGTAGTGGAAATTTATGTGAATCGCCTTAGCAGTCTATCCCAGTGAAGGCTAGTCGCCTGCCTGGTATTCTGTCTGAGAGGGCTTGGTCAGCTTAAGAGATTCCAAGCTAATTTAGGATCTTCCGCAGTTTAATCAACAGTAGATCAACCAAAGGTAATTGCAACTTGGACCTAATTGAGGAGCTAGGGGGAATCATACCTAAGTGAGTTCCCAACTTGTAATTAGTAGAGTAGTCAGTAGAGTAGTTTATAAATCAATCCTTAATCTAGTTTGCTAGATAATGAATTGAAGCTGAGTAATAGTAACTCTAGGGACCCGTGGATTCGATATTTTATTACTTGTGCCACTATACTGCAGTCCCTTTCATTGGTTACACTTGGCCATTGTTAGGTGTTGTGTTTTACCGTACCAAGTTTTTGGCGCCGTTGTCGGGGACTTTCTAGATTATTAGGAAAGGCATAAGTTTGTTACTTTAGCGTTTTCTTTTGTTTTCCGCCCTTGCTTTTCACTTGGGTGTTTTTTGTTTTTGGTTGTGCAGATCTGAATCATGGACCCTCATGGCTTCTCCAATCATTGGGGGTATCCACCACCTTACGAGTGGTATTACCCCGAGGCTCCCTGGAGTAACCAAGGAGGAAAAGACTATGGAGTCGGGTTTCAGTACCAACCCCCCTACTATGAAGAACAATCAGACCCCTGGGTATTTCAAGAACAATCTCCTTATCAAGAAGAATTCCTCCCACAACAAGAAGGGCCATCAGATCTTGAGTTCGCCACAGCCTTCACGGGTGATCCGGCAGAGCCATGCTACACTCCACAGCTAGATCCAAACTATCACTTGAGGCTTCTCGTGGAGCAGATTGCTCGAGTACCTGAGAGATCCTTTCCCGAGATGGATCCTCATATCCAGGCCAATGCCCAAACTGACTTCTCATTTCCTCGTGAAACAGAGGATACCCTTCGGAGCATAAAGGAGCACATAGAGGTCATTGAGAAAGCCTGTTCACAGTTTTCTCAAGACAACCTTTATGTTGCCATACAATTAGAGGTGGAGGAAGAAGAAGGCAATCGTGAGGATGTTGAGGAGCATACAGAAGTTGTCAAGGAAAGCTCCCATGATAATCATGAACAAGTGTATCCTCTGGTGGTGGATCACAACTTTCCTCATTTCCGCTCTGACATGTTGGGCCCGAGCGAGGAGATGCAAGCTGAACTTATTGAGAACCTTGCATGGCGACTTGCTCTCCAATCCGTTATGGAAGAAGAAGAGAGAGAAAGGGTGAGGAAAGAAGTTGTGGAGGATGAGGAAGAAATCAAAGGAGAGGTAGTTCTTGATCTTTTCCGAGGAGAGAGACCACATTTTGAAGAAGGAAGGGGGGTTGAAGAAGCGAGTGGTGTCCAGGCTGAGGATGAAGTTGAGGTGGAAGAGGCTTGCACCGGCCCTATAATACAAGTAATATCCCCACCAAACTTTGAGGAACTGCTTAGCAAGGACCCATTTGCAGTGTCTCTTTGCCAGACCAAGGCCACATCGACATCGGTCCCTCTTGGTGGACGCGATGGTGGTCAATCGATGTTGTCATATATGGTTTGGGGCAATGAGACGAGAGAAGAGAAGAAGAGGTCTCGAGGATGGAGACTTAATCTGCATCAAGTGAACGAGCTTCCATCACCAGTCATACCACATGCTTGTGACTTGCGACTCCACCTCATTGACGAGAACCTCAACTTCAAGGAGATTCTAGCATGGACCGAAACTTAGGAGCCATCGTCCAGCTCACGATGTGAAAGAAGCGCTTGTTGGGAGGCAACCCAACCAGTCGGTTTGCATTTCTTTCTCTATTTCTCATCGGTTGAGTCAGTTTTGTTATTTGATTTTAGAGTCAATAACTCAACCTTTGTGAGATTTTGTGTGGTGTTTGTGTTCTGATTACTCTCTCTTCCTGGAATGCACTGCCTGACCCGTCCATCATCATTCACCCTTGATCTGGTAACTTCGTTCTACCCTCCTTATCTTTCCTCCATTGAGGACAATGTCGTGCTTAAGTGTGTGGGGGGGGGGTGGTGTTCGATTATGTATGCGGGTGAATGTTTGGCTGTTTGTGTGCTTAGAGCCTAATTCACTGTCCAAATTTTTAAATTTGAGGGCTCGAAGTACGTGTTTCCTTGCAAATTGCCTGCTCAGTATGCTTTGAATTGACAATCTCTATAGTAATGTGCAACCTAGGGAGGTAGTGTACCACTATGGAGGATGTTGAAATATAAGATTTTTCCTATCTAGCTCTCTGCTGTGCTAGTTGATTTTGTGAATTAGTGAAGCTAAGACCGTTGAATTCATGTGGTAATGGTGACTCTGTTTGGATTGTGTTATGGACTCGTGTATCGAACAGGGTGCTCATGTGAAAAATGAAATGCAGTTGGTCCTCCATGTCAAAATCATTAAATCTTAAACCTGGGGTAAGCCCAACGTGTGTGGCACCGTTCATTGCACAAAATCGGGTTTTGGAAGAGATTTTAGTGATCCTTAGTGGGGTACTCCTACAAGGTGAAGCTAAGCGGTCTCTAGTACAAGTAAAACTTCCACCCGTTGAACGGTTTGCCTACTTGAGGATGTGTTTTTAAGGGCACGGATAGAGCTTCCGACCCCCTTTAATTTCATTGACCCTCCACACGAGTTGAGGAAAAGGAGTTCAAAGAAGTACTCTGGCGAGCGCCAGATGTACAGAAATTGCTCTTGCTCGACTAATAAGGGTCGACCGTGCAAAAGACTGCAGTTGGAACCCCCGCTAAGTGAATGAGAAAGATAAAAAAAAAAGAAGTAAAGTGAAAGTGAAAAAAGGGGTTCCAACGGTGAAATGAAGTGAAAGAGCACCCCAGTACAACGAGTCCTTGGTTGTGAATGGTGTGAGTCCCTTTATCCATGAACTGACCGTCTTACTTCTACTTCTTCTCACGATCATGGCTTGAGTCTAGTACTCGCATTGAGAAAGATAGGGGACGTCTTAGAAGTCCAGTTGACCTCGTAAGCTGCTTTATGATCTAGAAAGTCCTCTACCGACGATCGGGGTTGTTTGTTGCTATAGAGGTCTGGAGAGTTGCATTGGTTTGAGTCAGGTTTGCTTGGGGACAAGCAAACAGTTAAGTGTGGGGGGATTTGATGACTCGATATTTGCACATGTTTTCCCCTTTGTTTCTTGATCGTTTAAGCTTGCATTATCGCTTATTTGGCCTATTTTATGCTAGGTTGTGTTCCTTTGTCACATTTCAGGCCCTAGCACATAAAGTGAAGCGTAGGCGCAAGTTTCAAGTCAATCGGAGATCATTTGGCAATTCGGGAGAAGAAACACGAGCATGAACTGAGGAATAATGGATTTCTACCTCATATTATGGACAAATTATCATGGAAGTTTGTTATGAAAAGAAAGAGGACGAGGCTACGAGCGTCTGGGTTCAAACGGTGACTGATTTGGAGTCCGGACGAGGGAGAAACGAAGCTTTGAACAGGAGCAGAGGAAGAATTACGGGCAGGAGAATTACGACCGTAATTTCCCCTCCCATGCCCTTATTTTCACTGCCGAGAGGAGGTTTGGGTGCGATGAAACTTAACCAAAACGCGTGTTTTGGGCAAAATACGGGCATGGAAGAATTACGACCGTAATTCAGCCCGTAATTTGCCCAGAATCGGGTTTTTGAGGCAGATTCGAGCCATAGGAAAGGGAGAGCTAGGTTTTGGTTCCCAAACACCCAAGGGACGAACCCTAGAGAGAGAGAGCGACTTGGGAACATTCTTGGAGCTATTTTGGAGGATTTCTTCACCATTGGAGCTCGGGAATCAAGCTTGGAGATGGAGATTGAAGATCTAGATCAGATTTCTGCAGTCTCTCTCTTCTCTATGGAGTAACTTCCCTTCACTTAGGTTTTGAGGAACCCTAGTTCCATGTGTTAGTATCTTTTTTGTATGAAGTTTTGGATGCTATATTGTTTGATTATAATCGATTGAGGCATGATTTATTGAGTCAATTGAATCTTGATCAAATTCTCTTGATTTCTGCTTTAACCTATGATAGATAGAATCTGATTAGGTTAAGAGAGCTTCCTTGATTGATAGTGGTGAATTGGTTGTGCGAGAGTCAACCAATTCACTGCTTTGTACTGGAATTCATTCCAGTAGTGGAAATTTGTGTGAATCGCCTTAGCAGTCTATCCCGGTGAAGGCTAGCCGCCTGCCTGGAGGTAAGTAGACACCATTCATCCTTCTCACTGATGTGCTCGAGTCTCGGAGGAGCACACATGGATCATCAGATTCAGGATCACGGAGAACTTTGAAGTCGTCTTCTTCTTCTTCTTCGACTTCTGCTGACAGCACCGGATTTGGAAGAACCATATCCAAGAAGTCTCTGGACATGGCTATCAGGCATATGGTATGCATCTACACAACACTTCTCCTGTTGTGATAAGTTAAGCATGTTTAAGTTACCCCGTGAAAGAACGTGCTAAGAGGGACATCTCTAGCTTAATTCTCTATCTCAAGAAGTTTGTGTTTGATCTAGAATTTGAATGGTGATTGTAGGACATAAGAAATGGAGCAGGAGGTTCTCGCCCACTAACAGGGACTACACTCTTTCCCCAAAGCATCCGCGGTGGCCCGGCCAAAACACAGAGCCAGAGCCAGACTGTTCGCTCTTCTACTGCTCTAGAGGCGGCGGCATTGGTCAATGGCAACGGCCACCACCTTCGCAATGGGGAGGTTGTGGAGAATGGGACTTACGCGACGGGGAGGCATATGGAGACGGGAAACCATCACCAAGGGAACGAAGGACGGCAATTCGGGAGATTGGGCGAAGGGGATGTATACGAGAGCTCGCGGTATGATGCAATGTTACTGAAAGAGGACGTTAAGAACATGAACTGGCTGCACAGCATTGACGACAAATTCGATCAAGGTTCCATCTTTGATCATGGCTTTGAGCCCCTGCCCGAACCTTTCGCTCCGCTATAACTACGCAAAAAAAATGCCAAGTTGGTGGGATTTCCGTTCTTTGTCTCTTTGAACGTTATGAATTTCTTCTTGGTGTTGTATTCTATTTTTTCTTTTTCCTTCTATTTTCAGGTGGGGTGATATACTGATATTTATTGATTTATCTAGTTCTTCCCTTCTGATTATTATTTTGACCAGATGGGGGGAGGATACGTATATGACGAGTTTAATAGCTTCTAAACCAGACTGTATTGCCCAACTTCTTAATGATGATTTGATGAGTACTACGAAACCAACGTTCTGTTCTGTTCGATTATGTGCTGTGAAATATGAGCAATACTTTTAAGTGTTTCTTTGTGTTCATTAGCCAATTTTTTCATATTATCCAAATTTATTAAAATGATATTAATTAGCCAAATCTTTTATAACACATCAAAATATTAGTTATTTTTATGTTATTGTTAATAATTTTGTAACTCTTTTCTTAGTTAAAATATTAAAATTTTGGAATGTTAATTTTCATATTCTTTTTCAAGTCAGTATCATGTCGTCAAGTCAAGATTACTAACAAATAAACTAGTTGAAAATTAATATTTGACTAATTATTAATATTTCGATAGATTTAGCTAATAAATTTTTTTTGAAAAAGATTAGGCTAATAAATAGTCTTTACCCTTGTGTTTTGTATGGGAAATGTCAACTTTATCGGAACTTCCAGAGATTATATCTAACAAGCGAACTATCAGCTCAATCCTCTCTAGCAATGAGGGAGAGTGAGCGAGCTATCATTTTGATGAGCGGGTTCCTGTAAATGTTGCTGAATAATGTATTTTGGTAAAAATTTAAGAGTAAGAAACAAGGAAGCTGTTGGCTGTTGGTAGGGGTGAACAAACACACCCGCAAACCGACCCACCCGTCCAACCCGACCCAACCCACCCGTATTTATCGCTAAAACGAAGGTTTTGGGTTGGGTGACGATTTTCTTTTGTGCAACCCGCCTCTTTTGGGTTGGGTTTGGATTTTGGATTACACAACCCGTAAAACCCGACCCAACCCGTGTTCCAACTATTAGTATGAGTTCGTATCTAAAAAATATTTATGTCGTATATAGCCATACTTATGTGAAAATTAAGATATTTCGCCATGTTTTTCTATCATGGTCTCCCTAATCTAATGCATTCTTCGACTTAAAGTTTAGACATAAATTGAATATAATTATGATTCACGTAATCATTTTTGTTGTATACAATTTTAATAGAATAACATATTATGGATGCATTTGTTTATAACCTTTTTAGCCTATTTCAACAAATATCGTGAAAAAAACTAGGCATATGTTGAAGTAAATCACATTTTATTAAAACTCAAACAACATTTGTGAATTTTGATACATTTCACATCGGTTTATTTGTTTGAAATTTTAATTAGTTATAAAATATTTTTATGGTGTATAATAATTATATATTTTATGTTGGGTTGGGTTATTACTTAAAAATATCGCCAACCCGACCCAACCCAATTAGAAACAAACCGTAGGGTTTAAATTTTTTTGGGTGGGTTTGGGTTTGACAATTCCCAAACCGTAGTGTATGGGTCGGGTGATTAAAATACTTAAACCCGAACCAACCGACCCATGTACACCCCTAGCTGTTGGCTGTTGGCTGTTGGACACACACAACACACACATGAATGGGATCTTGCAAATTGCAAAAACAAAAGAAAAAAGAAGGGGTTCACTTGGATGCACTTGGGGTCGACATGGTCCGTATGCTGCTCGTGCTCGGCAATACAAAGACAACGAAAGTTGAGTCCAGTTGTCTCTTGCTGGATTATTGGTCCATTTTTAGGGGGGGAAAAATCCCAAATAGACACATGTAATTCTGAAAATACACATGTTTGATATTCACCGTTTTTGTCAAACGCAGTGAATATAATCACTGTCGAAGACAACAACGGTGATTCAATCACCACTTTAAATAAAAAACGGTGATCAATCACGTTTTAATAAAATGCGGGGAACATATAACCGCGTTTGTGTACATCAAGGAATATTGCACAACATCGGACGGCTATGATGAAGGGTTGGGGGACGTGTAGGCATTCATTGCCGTGGACAAACGCCGTGAATGCCCTACTGTCCATGTTAGCGATCCGCGTCGCCTCGCCCCTTCGTCATTGTCGTCGGATGCAGTGAGGCTCGGATTTTGGTTTTTCTCCCAGATTCGACGCCTCACAGCCGCCCACGTCAGCTATCCAAGTCGTTCATTGCGTTCGAAAAATGCTGGGTCTTCCCTGCATTAGACGAAGGCGGTGAAGGCGCTGTGTTTGTTTACAGCAGTCCCCTTCCCCTATAAATACCACCCTTCTCCCTTATTCCAAATCACACCACCACAGTACTCTTCTTTCTCACTCCATTCCTCCACTCTAGTTTCGTTCTAAGTATACTTTGTGGTTGCGGCTAAGTCCGATCATCCACATCAGAAAGATTCCTAGAGTTATATCATAAAGCCCTCCCCTCTAAAAACCCGTCGAGCCTCTATCCAGTTTCCGCCAAAAAATGGACGAAAAGGCTCTTCGGGTACATTCTTGGTAATCATTTTGTGATTTATTTTCTTGGGTAATGTCTATTTTTTATCCAAACCTTTTTCAGATTCTTTTATATTATCAAAACCTATCAAAATACTAAGAATTAGCCAAATGTTAACTTTTAGTTAGCAATTTTGTTAGTAATATTGATTTAGCAAAATGATATTAACTTGGAAGAGACTCATTAAGGTCAATATTCCAAAATTTTACTATTTTAACTAAAAAAAATAGTTACAAAATTATTAATGATAACGTAAAAATGGCTCATATTTTGATGCATTATGAAAGATTTGGATAACTAATAGAATTTTAATAGGTTTTGATAATATAACAGAATCTGAAAAAAATTTGGATAAAAAATAGAATTACCCTATTTTTTTGTAATAAAAACAATCTGATTTCATTCAAATTTTTTTGTAGATGAGTGCCGAGATATACGATCCTCGATTGTATATCCATTATGGACCAAGAGATACGAAGTATTTATCCGAGCAAGAAACATATCGCTCGCGTGCAATTTGGCACAACAATCCGACAAACACTACATACCTTATAATGTTTTAAATATTTTATTATTTTAAAAGGTTTTATTTTGCTTTCCTTTGGCTAACAACTTGGCGTTTTTTGTACTTTTTTGTAGGAATCACTTCTTCTCGTCATTTATAGAGAGGCCACAAACTTGCCCGTTTGGCATGATCGACTCTCGCTCTATCTAGAGAGGACGGGATTGGTTATAGGGAGGCATTTCATGCGGATTGAGATCGACAACGCTCTGCTGACGACAATGGCAGAGCGATGGCGCCCCAAAACCCTTACGTTCCACTTTCTGGAGGGGAAAATGACGATCATCCTCAAAGACGTTGCCATCCTCACCGGACTGCCGATCACTAGAGAGGCCATAATCAGTCTCTCTACCAAACCCGAAGCAGGCTGGGGGCTGCTGATTCTTGACAGTTTGGGCTTCGACATGCCGACCATGACTCCAGTCCAAGGATAGGGGCATCCACCTTTGAATGCGGCACAAGTATCGATCCCGTAGCTCGTTACTTACACCAAGATGAGGTTGATATCGGCCTAATGGAAGATCAAGTGGAGCAGTATGCACGTGTCTACCTCATTGGCATGGTTGGTTCCCCGACAAGGCAAACAGGTGGATTCAAGGCATGTGGTTGCCATTGCTACTCGATGCGCGATCAGGACAAAGAGTTGGGGGTCGGCCGTGTTAGTTGGGGTATATTGGGAGTTGTGTACTTGCTCGAAGGTGGGAGCGAAACAAGCTGGTAGTGCGATATTCATCCTCCAGCTCTGGGCATGGGAGCATCTTTCAATGTTCTCACCTCAAGACCCGCGTCCATTCTAGAGATAAAATAAGGACCTTTGAGATGTGCCAAATGCCCCCTATGATGTCAAGTAAGTTTAATTTAGATTTATTTATTTCTTGATTTGATTTATTTAATTTTTGCTTCATTTAATTTAGATTTCTTCCATGCTTAATTTTATCCCATGCTTAGCTTGATTTAATTTAGCTTTATATAAAATTTATTTCATGCTTAGCTTGATTTGATTTAGATGTATTCCATGCCTAAATTAAATTTATTAAGTAAATTAATTAGTTATTTAAAAAATTCTTACATGCTTAGCCTTCATGCTTTAAAAAATTCTTATATACGTACTTTTACTTATAAGGTGGATCGGAGCAAATACAAACGACCACCAACGTGGGCACTCTTTACTGTTTTAGCGTGCTAAGTTTGATAAGCCTTGGTGGAACCAGGTAATCATGACAATTCAATATTTTAACGAATTATAATTTTGTGCATGTAATTGGTTGCTAATTGCAAATTATGAATGATTGTAGGTTACCTGGGACCCATATCCAGGTGAAGTGGTCGAGCTGCATCATCTTAGACACCCTGAGGATCACGAGATGTGGTTGTGCAAGGTACCCTTGATCTGCTGGCACATCGTGGAGTGGCACCTGTCCGATCGATCCTTTAGGCAATATCGATTGGAGCGACCAATTCCAGCAACCCCACCTCAAGATTTCAAGGGGCTCCATCCCATCGACCTCCGCCACCAAGCAAAGAATTTGCTTCTCAAGCATCAGTTCTACATCAATGTTTGGCAGGATAGAGAGATAGCGAAGTGGGAGAATAGAGTGAATCGGGAGTTTACGCTTAGATGGGTGTCAAAGCAAGGTGCTGTGATGGGTTCGTTGGTAAGCCATCCCTAGTTTCCCTCTTTGTCTTATTCTTTTGTTTTAATTTTGATTAATTTTGTTTTACTACTTAAATTTCTTAGGTTGATGGTTTGGAACATGCCAAGCACATAGTGCACCCACCATGGATGAGCGAAAGACATCTTGGTTGCGAAGGCTTATGAACAACCTCCTGAGCTGTACCCGAGAGCAAAGGAGGGATGTCGTAGCATATCCTTCACTGCCTGCATCGACCCACCCATCATTTCGTGATGGTGAGCTCATTGTGCCCCCGGTTGAGCCCCCACGGAAGAGCAAACGCAAGCCTCAGCCAACCTTTCAAGAGCTTTGTCCGACTCAAGAAACAGAACTCCGTGAACCATTTGAGTACGAGTGGGAAGCTGCACCGAAGGTCGCTGGAGTCTCATCGAGCTACGCCCATTCTCACGAACATGACATGTTCCCCCAAGGATTCCCTCAATTCCAACATCAGCAGCAGACTTCGATGTATCATCCCACCCACCTCCACCATGTATACTCTGGTGGGGGAGGGGGGGGGGTCGGGTTA